GTCCTGAATTAGTAGGTCACAGCCTTATCCGGCTTCACAGAACTGAGCTAATCCCCTCAGCCTGGAGGATTCTGACCCCCTCAGCCCCGAGCTCAGAACTCTCCTGAGAGCCTTCAACTGGCTGGAGAACTAGGCCCCTGAGCTGCTGGGGGTCCTCAGTCTGCACTGAGGCAGGAGCATGAGCCCAGGGCTGGAGAGACACACCCAGCCGGGGAGGAAGGTGCTTGGGTGGGGGTCTGGGCCCTTGGTGAGCAGGAGACTTCAGGGAGTGAGTCAGAGAGGACATGGCCAGAAAGGAGGTGGGAAAGGGGAGCCCCTTTCCTGAGGGCCATCTGCATGCCAGCCACAGACCTGGGCACAGGCCTGGACACAGAGACAAACAGCAGTCCCTTCTGGGAGCCTAGTGTGAAGGAGCGGACCAGCAAAACACGCAGGCCAGAGGGAGGCCGAGAGCGGCCGCCGGAGAGGCCGCCGGACGGCAGGCTGGAGAGAGGACAGCAGGCTTAGAGTGGACAGGCCTTGAAGAGGGCGGTCTGCAGGTGCCAGGCTGGCCGCTGAGCAATCTCCTGGGCAAAACCTTCAACACGGGCCCGGGGCCTGGGGCCAGAGGGCGGCCAAGGCCCTGCAGGACACCCAGGCACCTGGAAGGATGGTTTATTCACACTGTCAGCCTCGACTGCCTGGGGTGTCCTGACACAGCACAGGCCCTCAGCCTTTTTTCCTCATCATCAGAGAGACAGAAAAAATCATTAGAGAACAACCTGGAGATGTTTAAAGTTAAAGCTGACCTTCCCATACTTCACCCAGACAGTCACTGTTTAGAATCATTTCTATTCTAATAAGAATAATATTTAAGAGATCTGTGCTTAAGAATAACTTTTATCTATTTTTTTTGGGTCTATAGTTCCTTTTGCTTTTGTGTCCACTTTTTGTAAGAATTACCCCCTGGACTGAGTTGAAATTCCTTGTTGCCACGTGATTTCCCCCGAGCCTTCCTCCTCTGCACGCGCCCCCCCTCACCCCTGCTTTGTCCGCTCTCGGTATGGATTGTGCAGCTCTGCTCCATCCTAGTGTGCAGGTTGGATGGGCCACGTTGCGTCTCAGAGATTTATATGTTTTCCCAAATATTTCTTTTGGAAAATTTGGCATCTACAGAAAAGTTGCAGGAATCACACAATCATAACCTCTTCAGTGACCAGTGGGTCGCCTTTGGCTGTGCTTCCCTTTCTCCCTCACAAAGGGTTGCAGACGCTTCCCCTACATAATTCAGCATCTGTCACCCACCGGCGAGACACTGGATCTGTAACTTCACACAATGATGTCACCCAAGGAATTGACCACGGCTGGTGACCATGGCTGCAATTCTGTTATCCCATTGACTTTCAAGATGTCTGCTGCCCTACTTGCCCTGTGAAGGCCCTTCACAGCACCTAGTTGTATTTTTTTTTAAAGATTTATTTATGCATACAGAACTGGGGTACAAGTCAGAGGTGCAGGGGTGGTGAGAGGATTCACCAGAGCCAGAGTAGGGAGCAGAACAGGAAGATTGACGAAGTGCACTGCTGAGGGGAGCAGCGGGCGAGACAGGTGATCCACGATCACCTCTGGGTGGGGTATTGAAGTCCCATTGAAGTGGCTGGGGCCAGCTTGCAGTGCTGTGTCCTAACCCCATGCACCACCAGGGAGGGCCCGATTCCAGTAGTTTCTAAGAGTCAGTTTTCCTAGTGGTCATATAAGTTCCTCTTCATTACTGAAGTAGGGTAAATTATGTGCAATTATTAAATGCACTCATTATAAACTTGTTTACTTCTCAAACAAATAATTTTGGTGAAATAGCATCAATAATGACAACTTTAAATAAATAACAGTAAAATTATATTTTCAGTCATTATCAAAAGATGGACCATCACTGTATTTCCTGTGTTAGTGGGGCAAATGTAAAAATGTAAGAGAATTTAATCCAAAGCGAAGCAAAGTGCGATATCCTGCAAACGTTCACCTGTGAACAGCCCTCTGGACGTCTCTGGGGAAGGTCAGCAGGAGGCAGCGGTGAGCTGGCTAATGTTTCACAAACAATTTTTGTAAGAGAAAAAAAAAATCCCCTGGCTTGAGGTTTGTGGAGTGTAAGTGTCTGGAGTTAAGTTCCCCACTGTGGCTGATTTCAAGGCACCAGCTGATGCCACTGCAATGCAAGTGGAGAGAGGCCTGTGAAGTTGGGCTTCATTAAAACTAAAAACGTCTGCTCTGTGGGGACAGAGTCAGACGGGAGACCAGAGCTTGCAGACGCCACATGTGGTGAAGGACTTGTGTCCCCGAAGATACAAGAACTTCTGAAACTCAGCAATAAGGAAATAACAGTCCAGGTACTAAATGGACAAAATGGCCAGCGGGCACCTCATCAGGGAAGAGAGTCTGTTTAGTTCCCTGATGGACTCCAAGGGCGTCGTGTTGTGTGGGCTGAAGGAGGCTGACGAGGTCATCTCAGGGATGAGGAATTCCAGGGGGATTTCTGAAAAGATGGGCAAAGGACAGGCAACGTGTGACGTGGTCGGCCCTGGAGTGTTGGGACCTGGACACCACGCCAGGGCCACCAGCTGTGGCAGGGGCTTCTGCCTACGATGGGAAGGGCCGGTCCATGCTACTCATTCAACAAAAGGCACAGATTGAGCCTGTCCCTTCTCAGTCTTGGCTCAGGCCTATAATGAAGCGACACAGAGAAAATGCCAGGGGGAGAGGGGAGGGGCAGATGAGGCCCTGCAGGTGGTGCTGGGGGCTGGGCTGGGTGTGGGCCCAGCACCCGCCAGGGACCTCCCTCCAGGGGCGACCACCCAGCCTGCTGCTTCTCCCCGAGGGTGGACAGGTGTCAGGCCCAGGGCCCCAAGCCCCCGCCTCTGGGGTTCCCTGGCCACCCCGGGGCTCCTGGGCTGACAGGGCCTCGCCCGCCCTGGCCTTCGTCCTCACGTGG